ATCGTTTGGTAAGGAATTGAAGTTCATTCGCAGACAATTTTCCGCAGTATATGATTCACCCTGGACAAACGCAGTGTGCATAGATACTCCTGTATGCGCAACGTTCGCACACATCCCAGCCAACTTAACCCTCCATCAACCAGTACCATTAAACAGCTCTTGTTGGCTGTAAAGTGCTCGTTTAGCACAACGCTCTTGTTTTTGTTTCTGTTGTACAATCATCAAACGGTTTAGCTGTAAAACTAATTGCATTACATCAATTTTTCTGTTAAAAGTCAATAACCAATCAAACCCCAAACCCCGAACCCCGGAACCCGCACAGAACATGGATGAAAGGACTCATGGACAGAGTTTCGGAATGGAGCGCGGGTCAAAGTTTGAAAACGTGCAGTTAAATGCACAGAGACACGCACACACAAATGTAAACGTTTATATATATAGAGAGAGTGATTTAGAGGCAGGGGAGACAACCAGTCGGTGGTCAATTTAATGGCAGCGGGCTGGGGCTTTACGGTGGTGTGTGCGGATCCATTGAAGAGACGGATGTAGCGACGAAATAATGACAGGAGTAATCACATTAGCCCCCAACAAATACTTTTGCAGGCGGCGCAGGGTTGCCATCGCCCCGGAATAATTGTTTCAAATGAAAGTGGTTCGCAGGCAATCAAGAATGAGATTGCCATTTGCAGATTATCGAATTTCGCCAGGAGTTTTGCTTCCTGCCGACAGTGGAGGAGTTAAGAGGATCTTGCAGCGAGATGACAGCCCTGTCAGTGTCTGCGTTTTACACTCTACAAAAAATCTTTATAAATTGAAAAGGTTTTGAAACTTCTTACTTCAAGCACCTTTTTTTAAAAAATCCCTATTAGAACTTTGTTTTATTACTAATGTATTATCATAAAAATTGTCTTTATTCATTTTCTTAAAAATAAATACTTGGGAATTAGAGGGAGAAGATCAGATTACATCTGTGTAGTGGCTATAGGATGTTCTCATTTTCTGATTAGGGGTTCCAAGATTTCCCTAACTAGTTTTTCTTCAGTGTAGCTGCACACACAAAGACCATCGCGCTTTCCCCAAAACGCAGCCCCGATGACGTGTCCATGCAGCCCATGTCAACATGACCCCCGACCTTCGACCCCAAACGCATACACAAACAAAACCTATCCAAAGGGGTGGGCAGTGGGATGAAAAGGGGGTGGAAGGAGAGGGCGGGAGATGCGGCGCCAAATGCTGACGGCGCACAGTGACCAGTTGACCAGCCCTAGACGAACGTTAAATCGTTAATTGATTACGGGACAACATTGATTGTTGTTGTTGATTTTTATTCTCCGTTTTTTCAACCGATTTTGTATGCTGTTTTTTCCCTGCACTTCTGTCGGTGGAAGTGGAAGCTTTATTTGGCCGAAGGATCCTCGTACGAGGACGAGCTGGAGTACAAGAACTGGATATGTCCTGCAGCATTTTAAAACTAATTGTTAAGCAAGCAGGCATGCCAGTCGAACGAACATCCATGTCACGTACGCACAAACCGCAAATACAGACAATCTGGTCGAAATATAACCGGCAGCCAGTGAACAGGATGGAATCGAGCAGATTCCCGGGGCTGAGGGAGGGATTTTGGGGCCCAAAAACGTTGCTTTGAAATAGAGAACGAACGGCAGCAGTGACTCCTGTAACTGATATTGCAGTTAAGGCGGTAACGAGTCTGCCGCCCAAGGAGCAAAAAACAAATCGACCGCTCATGCTGCTGCTGCTTTTGCTGCTGCTGCCACTCAAAATTCTGGCCACCCGAAAAAAGGGCCAAAGGGCTGTTGGCCAAGCATGAAAATAAAATACGAATGAGGTAGCAGCAGTACGAGTGCATGGCCAACTCCTGACGAGCATTTTAAGCAGCAATTATTTACTTTTACTTGATGCCGAATGACAACAACATGGAGTTGGCATAACAAGGCCCTCCCAGCATAAATTCAATTTAACTATTTTGCAAAATTCATTACCGAAACTCGTAGCATAAATTCCAGCTGTATGAATGCATTCCCAGGGCGAACGACGAAGGGACGGAAATCCGAGGAGCTCAAAAAGCCAAGGCACCAGAAGCAGAAATGGAGCAACATTGTCTAGGTTACTAATTGATGAACTAGAGTGTACGGTATAACACGTGTATAGCAAGTTTCCCAACAAACGCCGAGCCAGTAACTAAGCAAGTAAATACACTCATGCGAAATGTGGTATAGGAATACCAGTTTTGGTTATTAGAAATTGATTTCTAAGGTTTACTTATCTTAGATATTTCGAATATTAGCCATTTTATGGAAATTATTTCTTAGCTGACTAAAAGTATGCAACAATATATATTTTTAGACCAATAGTGATATGAATTTATACAGAAAGACGACTATCCGTAATTCACTGCATACTTTTAGACACATATTTTGACATTTGAAAGTGATTTCAAAAACCCAGCTATTTCTGTGGCGACCGCCATAAGTTTTGTTTTAGATATTTCGAGTTTCAAAAATGTAAACGAAAAAAAAACATTTTCCTTCTTACTGCAATTCTTAGATTAAAATTAAAAATAAATACAGATACAACGTGATTTTCTTATTACTAAACTCCACATCCTAATGATGATTGTGCTTAACTTTTCTGCGAGTGCACTATGGGGCATTTGACCACTTTTGTTGGCCGAAATTAATAACTCGGTCATTTCAAAAGATATTGACTTGAAACTTTACCAGTCGCCATTTCTTATCCCCCCGCATATTATATATGATAATCATCCGGATCGGAAAACTATATCATATAGCTGCCATAGAAACGATCAAATTAACTTTTCTGTTTTTGGAGATAAATGCACATAACTTTAGAAATAGCAATTATGTAAGTTTTTAAAACAATATTAACAGTTTTATACAAATCGGACGACTATATCCCAAAGGTTTAAAAAAAAGGGGCAAATGCAAGAATTTACTTTACATTTGTACGACTTTTTGTTCAAGTTGTAGCGGAACTTTCGTTTTAAAGCCGCTAAAGTCCACTTAAGTTAGTCAATTACAAAGCTAAGTATTTCTACTATATTTTGATAATAATTTAAAGTCACGAAAGTCCTTACTTCCTTAGCCACCAGTGCAAACGATAGGAGTTTGTGAAATTTGAGGTTATGGTCTAAAAAATTAAATTACAGAAAAAGTGGCAATAAGTGGCGATTCTGACCATATACATTTTAACAACAATTAAATAATCTACAAATCCCAATAGGTTCCAGAAGTGGACTCCGCTGGACTCACTTTCTTGCTCCATTTGAAAATTAGTTTTCTTACAAAAATGTACTTGTTAGACCACTCCCTTTAACACTCATTTGTAAGAAGAAACCGTCTCATTTTTGTCGTCGAACCACACAAATACTTAGTAAATAGCATAATCCTTTAAATCCAATCCAAAAAGTTTACTTAGATTGCTTAAAAACTCAAATTTAAAGCACTTTAAAACTGCAAGCAAAAAGTCGAAATTCAACAGCTCGATAATTGCATATCGAACAGCTGATTTAAAAGCTCCTACCTTAACAGAGGCGACCTCTATCGGATTTCTGTAAACGTAACATTGTTAAATGGTCTTTTGTTAACACATCCTCAAACAACATTTTTTGTTTTAACGACTTTTAAAAAATGGGTTTTGGCCAACCAAAGTGGTCAAATGCCCCATAGTGGAGTGTAGCAGCCACCACGTAGCGCTTGTTATTTTAATTTCCGCCTAAAAGTATGCAACAAATTGAAAGGATTACACAAAAGTTTATGCAATGCAGCAGGAGCTACAACAGCAGCAGCAGCAGCAGAGGAGCGGTAGAGCAGCAAGAGCAACAGCCAACAGCCAAGAGCCAACTTAAAACGGCAAGACAAATGCGACAATTTAAGCGCGTTTTGGACCGCTGGCACGCCAGCAACATGGCATAAAATTAATGTCAAGCAAAATGGGGAAACGGCAAAAGCAGCAGGAGCGTACGGAGCCAAAAGGAGCCGCAGGGGGCCGAAAGCCAGCTGAGGCATCGCATTCGTTCCCATTCGCCGCCTCTGCATCTCTGTCAGCCAAAAACGGCTGCAAAATGATGTGGGCCGGGCTGGATCGGCTTGCTTTGGCCTGGCTTTTGCAACAGCTAGCCATGTGTGTTGTGGGCGTTGCGAGTGCAACAACTTTTGTTGCATATTCAGCAGCAATGGCTGCAACGTCCCAACAGCAACAGCAACGGCAAAAGCCAGCGCAATTTCGTTCATTCGAAATAAACTTGGCAACGCTTATATGGCCGCATTTTGTGGCAAATAAACTTGCAACTGCCAGCCATAAAAACTATGTCGATGTCGACAAATTATGCACGACAGAATAAAATCCTTCATTCAGCTGAAATTTAGCACCGACTTGTCAGAGTGACTTTTGGGCGCCCGATGATGACGCTCCACCACTGGGCCCCCAAAAGCCAAATCAATGAAGCATTCTGGGGATTTTAGTCATCGGAAAACGACCTGGATTCAGGTTGCACTAATGAAGGCATATTGTGCGTACATGTGCCAGCATGTGACGATGAGAATTTTCCTTTTTTGCTGATTTTCCACATTGTACTGGCTGCACTCCGGGTTAAAAGATGGCAACCAAGCCCGAAAACTCATATCTTTGGAATTGAGGTGCAAAGGTATCTTTGCTCCAGTGGATTTTTTTTTTTCAATTTTCCCAATACTGAACCATGATGTTACTTATGAAGAAACTTTAATGAAAGGCTATGAAACAATAGGCTTTAAGGATTTGCCTTTCAGTTTCATAAAGGGTTGTGCAATTTGTTTAAATGCAGTTGCAAAAGAAGTGGCGCTTTCGAAGACAACAACAACTGCAAAATAAAGGCTTTTTAATATAAAATCTTAAAGTTCCCTAATATCATAAATAAATATTTTATTGTAGTTATTTTCGACACATACTGTACCAGTTAATTTATAAAGACAAGTCCATAGAGCCTAAGAGGCCTGAGGACCCCAACTGATTACCTCAAACAGGATTTGGAGAATTTCATCGACGTTAATACTCTTTTGATTCAATTTCCTCAGTGGGGTTTGCAGTTGTTTAGAATTCTGTGAAGAAAAAAGTTATTAAAAATACATTTAAAAGATATAGATAGGGATCTTACCCTGGCACGCTGCACCAGCTCCTTAAATTCCTTGTTCCTAAGAGCCTTGTAGAGCTTGGCGAATTCGCTACTCTGCCGCATTTTTTGTGAAATCAACGAATAGATTCTGGTCCTGGGCAAACTTTGAATAACATCCCAGAGAAAGGTCGTCAAATCGCGCCTTAGCATAAGTTCCACTGGTACAGTGCGCGACAGTTGATAAGTGCGCAATCGAGTTGGCAGACTGTCCACCAGGGTGGTGATATCATAACCCGAACCGTAATCGGTCAGATATTTAATGATATTCACAAAATCGGGAGCGGCACGAACTTGCTGCCAGGTCGTCGTGAACTCATCGCTGCGCACAAACTCAACTGCCTGACGGAACTTGGGATCGAAGATATAGTATCTGGCGGCAATAAATCCGATTCTTCGCCGGGGAACCAGTGCTACGAAATCCTTTAGATCCTCTCGCAAGCCCCCACAAACGGAGGCCCAGCAGCAGATCGCTGATATCACTAAAATAACCGACACGGAGGTGGAGAAAGCCATTATGCGACTATTAGACTTAAAAGAGCAGTTTTCGCTTATATACTGCTGTGGGTACAATATTTACCTTTGTCTCTTACAGAGGGGGTGTGCCAGGTGTTAATTGAAGACTGTCACCAGTCCCATCAACTATTTAGACCGTAGAAACTATTACACAGCCGAAAAAGTAGGTATACCTGGATTTATAATATTAATATTGTTGTTTACCTAAATAAAAATATTTAAAATCACTTCATTTATAACCATAAACAAACATATACTTCTCTTAAATATCTATTCTTTTAATAGTGAGTTATTAAGTCAACTTGTTTAAAAATTAATAATTAAACCCATTCGGAATATTTAAATTTATTCTGATAATTTAGTTATTCACGTTTTTTCAATCATTATAATATTATATTTTTTTCCACTGTATACTTTTGCTTTCACCATTACTGGGAATAAATACACAAGCCACTATATCTGTACCCAGTATTCAAAGCAGCGACTTCGCACATGATAAACAAGATGCATGGTCAACAAACATTGGCCAAACCTCGATAAATCAAGTGAGACATTCTTTTGTCTGGCCCAAACTGACTGTAATTGCTCCCATTTGTGCATTAAAAATAATGATTGATTCTGACTCGAAATGCATTTCCTTTCCCAGTCCCAGACAAACCGAGCTACATTGTTCTGTTGTCTGTAGAAGCCGAAAAATTAGAATTCAATTGCGTGATTTATGCATTCGGCAAATTTACGAGCCTTCTGAGAATTCCATGCCCATACACCCACCACCTCGAACCGAAGAAATCTACACTTCATTAAAGCCAACCACGAAACATTTGTCTGTGCACACACTGCATTGAAGCCAAAGCTAATATAAATGATAAGTTATATCTAAAATGGATGTAGGCATTTTCAGAGAGCTAAATGGAAAACATAATTAGGCCGCACTACTCAATTTGAATATACTAAATCTATCTTAATAAAACTGTCCATTAGAATCGAATAATAAACGCAGAGGCAAAACCACTCATTGTAAATTATAAATGCATTAATAAATTCAGTAGCGAACTGTAAATCATTTCCTTCTTGAAGAGAAAATATTTACTCAAAAACAGAGATAACAAAAAGATCCGTTCTCATTACACAATATTTCCTTCTTTAAGAGCATATAAAATAAATAAATAAATCTGATTCTATGAAAAACGTTGATTCACAGTTACAGCCTATACATAAATATTTTCCTGATAAGGTGTACTTTGTTCTTAATACAGCTCTTAATTTCCAGCAATAAACTCATTACTCAGTTGCATTCGAAAGGTTGAAGATGAAGCAAACAGTGAGCGTTGTTCTAGTGGTTTTTTTGATCCTCGGAAGCCAAAATTGCATTGCATTTGCTTATCTTCTTGATAACAACTGCGGCATATCGAGATATGCCTACCGAATAAGTGGAGGTCAGGATGCTGATTTGATGTCTGCCCCATGGATGGCATATTTGCATACGAACCCTAAATTTATTTGCGGTGGCTCGCTTATCAACCATTGTGCGTAGCAGAATTAAAAATTATTTCTAATGCAACACATTAAAATGATTAAATTTCTGTTTTTTTAGGGTTTGTCCTGACAGCTGCACATTGTTTCAAAGAACCCAACGCTAAAATGTAAGTAGTATTTATAGTTTAATAATATCCTAACTACTTATCCTTATTTTTATAGATATGTTCGGTTGGGAGAGAACGATTCGAGACAACGAATTGATTGCGATGACTACGACTGTGCGCCGCCGCCTTCAGAATATTGGGTAATGCAAAAGTTTATCCACCCCTACTATAAAACAGCCCACTATTATGATATAGCTCTGATCAAACTTAACCGGAATGTTATATACTCAGGTAACCTCCTCTTCCGTATAATTAATTTATTAATTATATTTATTTATTTTATTCAGAAAGCATTCGACCGATTTGCTTGATTTTGAATCCACAATGGCAGGGATATCTGGACACAATTCGACACTTTATTATCTCTGGGTGGGGAGAAACGAATAACACTGAAGTAAGCGAAAAACTTCAGATTACAAAGATTCCTCAGATTGACCGTTGGACCTGTCGCTCTTATTATGGATACAATGTCGATCGAACCCACATTTGTGCAGGCGAGAGTAAACATTATGTGGGCAAGGGCGATTCTGGAAGTCCACTGGGAAGTATGGTGAACTATGGCTACGATAGGCGTTTCTATCAATTCGGCATCGTAAGCCATCTTCGAAAGCCTTTCCTAGGCGTCTCAGTATTTACGAATATTTTGAGTTACTCCAATTGGATCTATCAAACCATTACAATTAATACAAGCTATTCGTAGAAGGGTTTTAATTAATGAGTAGGGGAGAGTGGGGGAATTTCGTCACAGGGGCAATTTCGTCACCTGCAATATCTCGGAATCCATAAGTCGTAAAAATATATAATTTTTTTGTTTTAGTCCTTCAAGACGGCCAGACACAACCAATGCATTTGTTTTGCACAGAAGGCCAAGATAATTAAGCTATAATATTAAATGTGTTTTAACAGTTCAAAAGCTACATTTAGTTCTCGACGAAATTTTTTCCGTATGCCACAATTCAAAAGGAATAAGATACACGATTTTTTATATATATGTGCATTTCTGCGTCAGTGATTTTTAACTTCGCGCCTAATTTCGCAAGAAAAATAATTATTTCTAAAAAAGTACGGTCTGGGGAAATTTCGCCACCCTACGCTAAGGGTAAATTCGCACCTATTTTAAATACATATTTTTATATTTGACGAGCTGGCTAACGAACAGACTACCAGCAGCAGCAACAAATATAGGACGTCAACAAAAATGGTACGCTTGATCAGTGTAGCATATTTTCAGGCGTTAAACTCCCTACATTTTTCAGGTGACGAAATTTCCCCAGTTGTGTGGTAATTTTACCCCCCTGTGTGGTGAGATTGCCACAGTATATTGGTTTTACATTTTATTTTTTTATAAATCACCAAGGTAATTAAAAAAATAGGGGAATGTCACATTTTAAAGCTTGGTGCTAACCGCATTCAACAATAAAAATAGAAATAGAATATAAATTCCCCCACTCTCCCCTACAAATAAAACTTTTATAAATAAATCAAAAAATTATATCTTAAAATAAAAAAAATCATTAAAGTAAATACGAATTCCAAGAATTTTGATTATATTATTCCATTCCATTTACTAGAAATTGATAACGGATCGGTAATACTTGGGGGTCAAGAACCGCTGATAAGCACGAAACATATTCTTTGTTATAGTGTTAAGCCTCAGTCAGTTTCGTTTGAGAGCTTCATAATGAAATACATGCTTGGTCTGCTCGTTTGTTTTATTATTGGTGACCAACTTTTCCATGGATCGGCCACATTACTGGACCCAAATTGCGGCTTGAGTCGATATCGAACACGAATATCAGGCGGCAGGGATGCGGAATTGAACTCAGCCCCATGGATGGTATTTTTACATGATAACTTCGAGTTTGTTTGTGGCGGTTCGCTGATTACGAGCGGTTTGTACATTATTTGGGTTCTTGAAAATCAAACAACTAATTCTTAATCAATATACAAACACTAAAAAAGTTGTAATATAAGTATTGGATCAATAATTTAATTTATTTTATATTGCAGCTTTTGTTCTCACGGCTGCCCATTGTGTTACTCCCATTCCCAAGCGATTGTTAGTATTCTGACGAGCTTTAAAAACAAATCAAGTTCTTATTGTTGTCGTTTCATGACTGTAGAGCTGCTCGATTGGGCGAGCTCGATTGGACCACAGAGCGGGACTGCAATAACGCTTATATATGTGCCCCAGCTTACAGGGAATACACGGTTACTAAAATATATACCCACCCGCGGTACAGGTCGATCCTTTCGCATGATATAGCTCTGCTGAAACTGCACCAGCCGGTGCTCTATACAGGTAATCGGCTTTTTCACTATGAACATTTCTAATCTATCCCAAAAATCTCTTTTTTCACAGAGTCTATCCGACCAATATGTGTGATAATGCCTGAAAAAGTGGACGAATGGTATTGGTACGTGGATTCGGTGAGGGAGTTCACTCTGACCGGCTGGGGTGCGACAGATACGGTTCCGGTTAGCCATCGTCTTCAGACCGTGAATCTCACCCAAACCGGTCGGGGAACCTGTCACGACCGATACGGGCTTGCGGTCGATCATACCCACATCTGTGCCGGAAATACCGATCATTATGCCTGCACCGGTGATTCCGGCAGCCCACTCGGTTTCACAGTTAAGTATGGTGGAAGGGAAGTCTACGCTCAAGTCGGGAATGTTAGCAGTGGATCGGAAGCTTGCAAAGGAATAACCGTCTTCACAAACGTTGTAAGCTTCACCCAGTGGATTGCGCGGACAATTTCGTACGACGAGAGATACATGACGCCTTGAATATAGAAAAACAGAAATTGTTTTTAGAAAAATATAAATATGGGCACTTCCAAAATGTCGCTCGGGACATTTGCACACCTTTAAAGTTGAAAAAAAATGTAAAAAAATGGATTTTAATTTTAATTATGGGCTTTTCTTTTTACTCTTCTCAAGCTCTGTTTTTGGTAAAAATCTTGATTTTGTACCACTTTTAGTTTTTAAGATATCGGTGAAAAACTGCCGTATTCGCTCGGGACAAAAATAGAAGTGGATTTCGGGGAAGTTCATACAACACCAGAAATTAGCAAATTCTGATGGAATATTTGAATGCGATTTTTTTTAGAATGTTGTTCAAACATGTCGTTGTGAAATGCTTTTGGTTTCACTCAAAAATTCTTTGCCGTTTTTTTTTTATGCAGTTTCAACCACATTCGCTCGGGACATGTCGCTCGGGACATTTTTTCCGACTGTTTTGTAAAGCGGATTTCTTTACCTCTATCTCTCAATTGCTGGATGTTTTGCCTTTAACTTAATAGTTTAGCATGTGAATGAAGCATTCAGTACAGAAAAATGTCACATATTAGCATTCCTATAGGATAAATTTACAACAGAAGACAGGTCCAAAAAATAACAAAAAAATAGCCAAAAACTGATTTTTGCGTATATTGGTGGGGTTTGTCATAAAAATAATCAAACTTTACTCCAAATTTGTAGTTAAGCTCAGTATCCAACTAATTAGAAACTAATATCGGGGCAAAATCATGTAGAAATATGTTTTATTCAAGTTTCAAGGTTTTTGGCTTGGTGGACTTTTTTTTGGAAGTGCCCATATATTTTAATGATCAACAGTCCAAAACGGATTCTAAAAGTCAGTTAAAGTTAATTAGTTATTAGTTAATAAGTTGAATAGGTACTTAAGTAAATTCCTAAGTATTTTTAGCTCTTCCAAATAATTCAAGGGAATTATTTTAATTTTTTAATCAATAATAATTCACTCTTTAAAAGCTATGAACATGAATATAAAAAAGCTTTTATGTTTCCGTTCTCTCATTTTAGGTATGATATTTTGTAATGCAATAACAAACCGAAAATCAATTCATACCCCAAATTAATGTTAAAGCAGCAAATCAGTTTTGGGATCTCTTTTAATCTGAAAAGCCGCACAAAAGGCAGACGGCAGGCAATAAATTTGCATCAATGCTGCAACAATTGGCAATATTCTGTGGCAAAAGCAAACAAATAACCGAGCAGAAGGTGAGGTTGTTTCGATTGTGAAAGGATCTTCCGTCGCCGGGCCATTTCCCCCTCTAACCTCTAACCCCAAAAAGAGGCAGCCAAGTAACGTGTGTTATGTGGGGCATTTGGCGGTTTTGAGGACAAAAAACGGAAATGGAAATGGAAACGAACGCGTTACGTGTGTTTTGGGGGCCCCAGAAGTCGACTAGAGGCCTCCATCCCCCACCCACCACCACCCGCGGAGCCATCAGAACCAGGAGAGCTGAATTGTTGCGGTTGCTGGGATGCCAGTTTACTGGTTACCGTGCGTAATAAGCTGCAAAACGCTTTTCGGCCCTTGTGCCTTTTTGGCCATTGTCCTCTTTGAAGTTTGTTTATGATTTTCGGATGCTGCACGCACAACAAAAAAGCGTTAACCGCATTAGATTTAGATTTCGCCGTATTAGTGAGATTTATGCATTTAGGAAATTAAACATCCTGTGCGGGTGGACATTTTAAATTTCGCTACCCCCGAAAAAGCTGGCTTAAAGGTGTACTGGGCGTCATTAATTTGAAATCATGCGTAAAATCGCGTAATGTCGCCAACACGCCCATACCAATGCCATTACCCACATCCACAGCCTCAACCCAGATTCTCAATCTGATTCAGATTCAGATCCAGATTCACCGCCATAGCTACATATAACCATGGCAATGGCCATGGTCTACTGTATCTACTGGCCTCAGCATCCTCCTTGCACACTCATTTGTATACAAAAAATGAATGTTTTTGCTTGTTTTTTTGCGCCGCCTACTTGGCAGTGTAATCATGTGTGTGTGTCTGCGCAAGCACTGAGAGAAAAAGGGAAACTATGGTCGTAAAAAAATACTTGCTTAATAAGCCACATTTGAAGGGTGAGATTAATTTGTAAATAATTTAAATATTTTAAATAGCTACGAATCTTATAAATATAATATACATAGTTCCAAGAATTCTCTTCAACTACAATAATTATTTGCAAAAACTCATTACATTGATTTTAAGTAAAATGCAAGAAATCTAGCAGTCTTTTGATAATGTTATTGACCATTTAAAATAATTTTATATTTTAACTATTTGGAAAAAAATAATATTTGTAGAACAAATTATTATTAATTTTCTTATCAGACTTGTAAAAGTTTATTGAGCATAAAAAAAATTTTATTTTAAACTAGCTAAGTTTATTTAGAAAAAAAATAATCTTTTTAGATTATTATATTATTTTTCCTCATTATTTGTTCAATGCTCCTATTTTCTTTCAGTGTTTTTCTGCGTCTGTGAATGTGGGCTGGCTGTTTTTTATTTGGGCCCATCAGCACGTCGGTTGGCCCGCTCGGCTCGGCGGAAATGCGTTCGACCACATCAATCACGCGACATTGACAAATGTGAATATTTTTGTTGAAAATTATATGCGGTGGGTGGTGGGCGGTGTGAGGTAGGGTGGTAGGGGCTGTTGGGCTGGTTGGCAGAAGGCTTGCTGCACCAGAAAAGCGGCCAAGTGGCTGTGCAAATTATTGGCTACAATAGTGCTTCAAATTGGGCAATTTATTGCTTTATTGCTTTTACGTGTTTCGTCTGCGGCTTCGTTGCAATTTTTGTTTTTTTTATATATGTATGTATTTACCCCCTTCTGCAATTCACTTTTTCATTATGTCGCCTGCAGAAATGCACTTGTTGTTGCCGCTGTTGTTGCAGATAATTGCAAATTTAATCATCGCATAAAGTTTCAAGTGCGGCCAGGTTGTTCGTGGGTATTATGGCCAAATAAATTCCTCTGATGGCAACTTAAAAAGTATTATGAGGATCGTAGTGCCGAAACATAAATAAATATTTGTGATCCTAGCAAACTGTCGTTCGAAATGAACACATGTCACCTGGTCAGTTGTTTTCGGTTAGTTCAGTTTCTCGATTCCAGCTCAGCGGAGCTAACACTGCTTTCGTTTTTTTTTTAAATAAAAGACACGATTTTTGTATTATATTTTTCATTCCCTTGTTGAGCAGTTGATCAGGTTAACTGTTACATTCACTCGATCGCGTTACCAAATTGCTGTATAGTGTATTCAGAACACTCTCTGAATTCGGTGTAAATTACCAGCAAAGTTGATCCAAATTGCAACAGAAGATGTCTCGATCACAGGTGATCTCTTGTTTGCGCTTGAGCCGTTCCACTTTGGGATTATTCAGGTGCCAGAAGGCACTCTTTTTTGCCAGAGGACCAGGTTTTCAGCAGGTGAGTTGGTATCTTTTTTAAGTGTTATTGGGATCGTTTATAAAAAGGGTTATCTTAAAAATTTAAGATATATCTTATTTAAAACTATTAAATCCGTCAATAAATATAATATTTTTAGAACCACTAGGTTACAAAACTTCTTTTGCCATAAATTCTGGAATATTATTACTAAAATTTCCTAATTATCTTGAAATTCCGAATATGGTTTCTTAACATGTTTTAAAACCCCCAGGTGAGGTGCAAAAGCGAGGATGGCGGCTGCAACACCTGCAACCTTCAGGGCGTGGTGGTTGGCCTCTATGCCAAGGACGGTGACAAGGGTCTAAAGTTGTCCCCGGGTGGCGAGAAGTTCGACGATCGTGTGAGCGGCAAGATCACGGAACTGATCAAAGAATCTGGACTCAATGGGGAGCTCGGCGTGGGTCGACTGTATCAGAACATAGACAAGGAGTACTGGGCCGTGGCGGTTGTGGGTCTGGGCAAGGAGGGCGCTGGCTACAATGCCGAGGAGGTCATCGACGAGGGCATGGAGAACGTGAGGGTGTGCGCCGCCGTCGGGGCGCGGGCTCTGCAGATGCAGGGATGCACCACCTGCCACGTGGATGGCATGGAGTATCCCGAACAGGCGGCCGAGGGAGCAGCGATGGCCGTGTGGCGATACAATGTGAACAAGCGCAAGAAGAACCGCGTGGCCATACCGAAGCTGGAGCTGTACGGCTCCACGGATCAGGATGCCTGGACGAGGGGTCTCTTCAAGGCCGAGTCCCAGAACTTGGCCCGTCGCCTGGCCGACACCCCGGCCAACCAGATGACCCCCTCGATCTTCGCCCAGGCAACCGTGGATGCTCTGTGCCCCTGCGGCGTCTCCGTGGAGGTTCGCTCGATGGACTGGATCGAGACCCAGAATCTCAACTCCTTTCTCATGGTGGCCAAGGGCTCCTGCGAGCCGCCCATTATCCTGGAGGTCAGCTATTGCGGCACTTCGCCGGAGGAGCGGCCCATCCTGATGCTCGGCAAGGGACTGACCTTCAACAGCGGCGGCCTGTGTCTGCATCCGAAGAAGGGAATGGACGAGTATAGGGGAGCGGTTTCCGGGGCCGCCGTCTGTGTGGCGGCCATTCGAGCGGCAGCTGCTCTATCGCTGCCCATAAATGTTTCGGCAGTGCTGCCTCTATGTGAGAACATGCCTTCGGGAATGGCAACCAAGCCGGGCGATGTGGTGACCCTGCTTAACGGAAAGACCATGCGAATCAAGGACATCTCATTAGCTGGCACTGTGCTACTGGCCGATCCCCTGCTCTACGCCCAGTCGACCTTCAAGCCCAAGCTGGTCGTCGAGGTGGGCTCCATGGCCAGTGGCATTCGCAAGGGGCTGGGTGCCTCGGCCACCGGTTTGTGGACCAACAACTCCTTCCTGTGGAAGAACTTCCAGAAGGCCGGAGCTCTCACCGGCGATCGATTGTGGCGCATGCCGCTGTGGAAGTACTTCCGCAATCTAGTGGCCCCCACCAAGGCCTACGACATCTGCTCGACGGGGCAGGGACACGCCTCCTCCTGCCTGGCCGCCGCCATCCTCTTCGAACTGGTGCCCTGCTCCGACTGGGTCCACCTGGATACCCACGGCACCGGAATGCTGGCCCAGCACGGAGTGCCGCCGTATTTGCTCAAGGACTGCATGACCGGACGTCCAACTCGATCGATTATCCAGTTCCTTTACCAGATGGCCTGCAAATGATGCGGCGTCTTTTTGAGGAGAACTTGACGAGGGATCCGTGTCCTGTAAATTCAGTGTTGTATATTATCCATATGACGTCCCTACCATTGGGTTAACTTGTAGAGTCGGTATGGTGTTGAGCCTTTACTCGAATGATGTGACGTATTCTGTAATGTCAGAACGGTTGAAAGCTTCAACAAAATAAAATTCAGGTAGCCAAAAAAAGTAACAAATTTAATTGGATTTAATTTGCTTTAAGTTCTGTGGATTCTTCATATAAGAATTTTCTTAGTCATCCCAAGGCGCTCGTCGTGACCTGGCTTTTTGGCCACCTTTATGGGCCTCCATTAGCCAGGACTAAGTGCTGGCCAGCAGGACTCGTTTACATATGCCTAATTAGTGCCGGAAAAGAAGGCATATTCGGGTATTTCGGTACAGGACCTAATTGCTCCAAGAAAACGCTGGCTGTGTACGTGATAAAAAGAGATGTGAGGCTCAGCCCTGCGCTCATTCCTCATTAATGCGCACATGTTTTGCATAGGTAATGGCCTGCACAGGGACAACTTTCAGTCCGTTTCAGTGGCGAATATGTGAGCGTGACGAAGGTTGTACAATGAACAACCGCCTTCATATTACGCACATCATGGCCAACTAATATATTCTCTTCCAAGTTTTTAGCGCCAAAATTGCCAAGAGGTATGCAAAGGTAAGCTTATTTATCTAGGAGTCTTAAAAATTTCTTAAGCGCCAAGACTGAAATTACCTAAAAGAACTTTAAGATTAAGTATTCTATACACCTAAAAGTAACTTTTTGATATAGAAAAGCTAATATATATTAAGCTAATATGCAACATTCAATACTGTAAGTTAGAACATCCATCAATTTACATTTTATCGGATAAAATAGCTTTATCAAATTACACAAAGTAAGAAAAACAAGAAAGTAAGCCGAAAGTGTAATACTCTTCCAGGATTTTTTAACTAAAAAGTAACCAAAATGTTGTTGTTAAATTGTTCCCATGATAGCTAGAAGACATAGTAGTCTAAACCATGCGGTTTAAAAAAGGTTTGTCTCTTTTACAACATTCAAACTGCTGACCAAATTTATACTACCCTCAGTAGGACTACGAAAAAAACACCACAAATAGAACTGTCCTTCGGCTTTTTTAATGAATTTTCGAGCACGGTCTTGCGAATTGATTTAATTTCTCCGGTGCCTTCCGCTTTCTCTTCTTTTTTTCTGCTGCTTCGTGCGCGTTTTTATTGCAGTGACTGTGGACTGGGAGCGGGTCTCAGTTTCGTTTTCGGTATCTTGTTTGTTGCTTAATTGGAAGGAAATTAAAAAATAAACAAGCAGCGCCAAAAGCAAATACTACACGCTGGCGATTACCTGGACAGCGACAGCACCACCCAGCGAAACAACAACCACTGGTTTTGGGTGGCTAAATATATATATATAGAGAGATACCCCACCTGCCAGCAGAGGCCCACCGGCTGTTTGGAATTTAATTTTCATTTCCCCCAGCCGCCGCGAGAAGAGCGTTAATTTTATCTTGGAAATAGATTTTCAGGTTGTTTGTTATTTTAGGACCTGCTTGCGTAAGAATTCCTCGCGCCCCAAAAACTTTACAACTGCCTGGCTGGCCTCAGTATTTGCCTTGAATTAATTAAAACCCATCAATGCCCACCGATTGGCAGCAGCAGTAGCAGCAGCATAAGGACCATCAGCAATTGGCTAATTGAAGCGAATTGCGAGGAGCATGAGGAATATTCTTGAACCAAATACACATATCAGTGCACACACGTGGGGCCACAGCAACAAATTGAAATTCAGGGCAACAGTTGAGCCAAGCAAACAGAATTTGGCCATTGATGAGACGCCAGTCGGGAGACCAAGTTTCGGCTTGCCCCTGGCCATGGAAAGTGTCTCCCAGTTTAGTGGTGCGTGTCCTAAAACTGGGTTTGCCTTTGGCTTTGGGTTGCCTGCCCAGGACACCACAACTGCACTGGGGAAAAAACTAGGTTTTTACAGAAATATATTTCAAATGTTTATGATGATAGAACCAAAATTATAAGTAAAATATTTACTAATTTTACTATAGATAATGATTTTTTAATAATAATTGTACTAATTTTAATTTTTAAATAGGGTTAAACTGCACTTCAAAGACTTCCCAAATAAAAAAATATTATAAACTAATTAAATTAGATTTAATTAAATTTGATCACACTCATTAATTTTTGTTTATATGGATACTGGTATTATTATTTTGATTTAATAAAATCCATACCATTTTTAAGATTGATCCACAAAAAATAAGGATTTTACCTACAGATTACTAATCTAAAACTTGAAACTTCACAGTATTATAAAATCGTATAATAAAAGTATTACATTTTGAAATTGTAGGCACTTTTTATTGCTTAATAACAAATAAGGGCTTTGTACCACACAGCTACAATTTAGCTGAAAATGTAGTTGGTATTTTTAACTTCAATATTAAATAATAACCCCTTCTTCTCTAGTTAAAATTCATTCAACTATTTTGTTTATCAAATATTTTTGGGAACTGAAAATTTGGGTAACTGTACACCGGCATAACTAATAAGACACTTATTATGCGATGGCGGTCTGGTAACGTTAGACCAAGTTTAACGATATCACGTACATACGTTAACTAACGCTAACTACGTCGTTAAGTGGGGGTATGGGTACGAGAGAGACTGTGTCCCTGTGTCTGTGTCTGTGGAGGGACACGCGCCGAGACCAGGACACCAGGACACGGATACGGATAGGGACACGGGATGCCAGAGTGGCGGAGAACCGGAGTCGGTGGCATTCACTAATCAAGCTCGCCCAGCTATATGGCTTTCCCGCTGTGAGCGAGCAGAAAATTTACATTTTCAATGTCCCCGGGTCGCGGGCACTCAGGTGGAGGAGTCGGGTCCTTTATGGTGCCTCGTCCCGTTGTTGTTGGTGTAATAATCAGGATCACGTCGCCAAACATGAGGCTTAGTTAAATGCCGCTAATTAGGCCCTTTTGTGCGCATTCCTGGCCGGGCTATTAAAAACTGAGCTAACCATAAAAGCCAACCGTTAATCAGCTGCACACACCGAGAAAAAAAATAGAAGGGGGCAATAAAAACACTCGTAAAGCCCTTAAGGAAAAGTTATTGGCCGACTGGGGCCAAAATCGCGTTTCGCAGCGCGAGGATTTCTAATTATGTTTGGGTCAGTGCCAGTTGAACTCGCAGCAAATCCAGCCCGCTTGCCAAAAGAATCTATTTCGATTGAAAATTGCCAGAGACAGAAAACAATAAACATAATCGCAATATTTTATATTTCCGCAACAAGAAACAGCGGGAAATTGTCAGCGAGCACATGAAACTAGTCAGCGAAAAGTTTAGAAAGGGAGAAAGGGAAAATGTCCAGATCCTGCCAAATGGCCAATTCCATTGAAGTTGGCTTGGCTGTGACTTTAAGCCATGCCCGGCACTTTGTAGCTCATGAATAATCCTTTTCAGCTTAATCGACTAACCTTACCTTTACAGGGGGTTAAAATCAGTTTGAAAATCCAAATAAATATGCAAATTCCGCAAGGGGCCAGAAAAGGTGTCCCAAAAGGTACATTAGACCCCGAAATCCCTCAGAAACCCCGAACTTTCCGTCGCACTCTGCCCAAATGTTTTTGTCACCTACGTAATCGATTAAGCGATAAGGTGGATACAATGAGAACTCACAAAGAGCGGCAGACAAAGCGCTTTCAAATTGAATTTATACGGCTTGTTTAACGCCGCTTAAGTTAACAAATATATGTATATAAATAAATATAATGCACACATAAATTAAAGCCGGATTTCAGCGCAATGTTTACATTGTCCGCCAAAAAGCAGACCGAAAGAGCCATTGTTATGTGCGAACAAAAGGAATGTTTCAGCTTAAAGCTCATAACAAACTATCAAACTGGAATTAAACACGCACCAACATCAGCACACACACGCACAGTCACACGCACACACGCAGGACTAGCTAATTATGCAAATGTGTTTGATTGCGAAAATGGTGCGCCAAAATGTAGGCAACACTTTACGAAAGGCTGCTTTGAACGGCAAACAAAAAAGGAGAAACTATAAAGTTCACTAGCTTGACTAGTTTTCACCCTGTTTTTCCAGGTCAATTTAAATTTGCAAAATTGGAATTTTTGTGGTTTCTCAATAATTGTTTTGAAACAAAGACTAAAAATGTACTAGCATGGCAAACAAAAAAGGGAGAAACCATAAAGTTGACTAGCTTCACTGGGTTTCTCCATTTTCATCATATAAATTAAAATTTTCTAATATAGCATTTTAGTGGTTTCTTAGTGGCCATATTAATATTATGAAATAAAGATATTTACTTATATTCATGGAGTGAATAGTGCATTTATGAACCTGTTTTATAATGCCCCCATGTCCGTTTTTCATGTCCAAACAGCATACCCCTTTTTACACTTGCCAAGTAGCGGGTGAAAAAACAACAAAATTAGCATAATTATGCAATCTACGAGCGCATCGAAATCAAATGAAAGCGAAACTTTGAACGGGGAAAAAAGGTAACGGAAAATTTAATACGAACAAAAACTAACAAAATAAAATAAAGGTTGTACAAAATCATTTAGAAATGTGTGCTAATGGATATTACGACTGTTACTGCTTACTGTTTCTTTTTCAGATCGTTGAGCACACGGGCGATTTCGTCCTTTAGGGCCACCGCTCGACTGGCCAGCATTTTGGCCAGAATAGCATGCTTTTCGGCCATGTCCAAGGCCTCCTGATCGCGACTGCTCACTTCGCCGGTTTTCTCCGCCGATCTCTGGGCCAATTTGTTGGCGGCCTCGACGGCTTTCGAGGCCTCGGCCAAAGCTCCTTGGGCCTGCCTTTGGGCCGAAGTGTAGGCCTGTTCCAGAGCCTCCAAGCGAGCCTCCTTCTTCTTCTTCAGGTCCTCCAGTGTGTTGGTGGCTTCGGTCAAGAGCGAAGCGGCACCCGAGGCCATGTTGAACACCTGCTTGGCCATATCCTTGGGAGAGTTTTTAGTTTCATCGATGAAATCGCTTTTCGGTTTGGCGGATATCTCCAGCTTAGGATATATGGTAACTGGCTTATCGTCTTCCGGTTTTGTGGTTTCCTTAAGTTCCTTCTTTTCCTTTTCCTTGACAAGCAATTCGGCAAGTTGATTGGGATCTGTGTACACAGGACCCACTTCGTCGGCACCATCTATATTGGATTTTTTAGCCCCCTTGGAATCTGTTAGCTGCATGCCCAAAATGGGTTTCTGATTTGATCCTTGGGGTATCTCTGTCAGCGAGGCTTTTTCCTTGGGTCTACCTGGGTCACCTGGTTTCTTTTCCCCTTCCTTCTTGGCCAGATCCTCACTGCATTTCGATATGTTGATGAATACCTGCTCCTGCTCTTTGGATTGCTCTAAGCCCCCTTCGTTGTCCTTGTCGAATTTGCAATCGTTTTTCTCTTTCGGCTTTTCCTTGCAGGGATCCTCCTCGTCCTCACAGACGCCTTCCTCGTCTTTTGGCTTGCAAGGATCCGGTTGGCAGATGGATTCCTCTTCTTTTGGTTGGCAAGGATCACAGATGGATTCCTCTTCTTTTGGCTGGCAAGGATCGGGCCTTGGCTTACAGGGATCTGCCTCCTCTTCTTTTGGCTTACAAGGATCTTCCTCTTTGGGCTTGCAAGGATCCTGCTTCCTCTGGTACTCCCTGTACTCCTCCGCCTCCCTCAATTGACGCTTGCGCTCCAGAGCCCGCGCGATCTCCCTGGCCCTCTCCTCCTGGGCATCGCAGGGATCCGCCTCGATGGACAGGTTGGCATGTCTGGCCTTCACCTCCGGATTGGCCTCCACCTCCTCGCCGCGTATAATAGTCTGGTTACAGATGTTTGGTGCGGAATCGCGCTCTGTAATGCTATCGAGTGACTTTGTGGGTGTTGATGTGGGTTGAGCTGCCGTCTTGCCCGAAGCTTCGGCACGGGCTGCCTTGGTGGCCTCGGCTTTTTTCTGCACATTCTTGGCCATGCCCGAGAGCTTCTCCTTGAGACTGTTGAACAGAACGATGGCCTTGGCCACCAAATCTTTGGCCATTCCACTGGCCTTTTCGGCCAACTGAGTGGTGTCTATCGATGGTTCAGTCGGTTTCTTTGGAGCCACAGCGGCAGTAGGTTTGGTCTCCCCGGAACCCTTTTCTGGTGGCTTTTCGGGAGTGGGTTTCTTTGGCGGCTCCGGTTCCTCCTCGTGGTGAAGAGCTGCCGCCGCCTCTGGATCCGAAGGACCCGGCATTTGCTCCTCGGGAGTGTGTGGCCAAAAAGTGGGCTTGTTAATGAAATCCGGTGCCAAATGGGGACGGGCAAAGCAAAATTCCTCCATGGTCATTTGGTCGTAGGGCTGCATGGACTTCACAAACTCCAGCTTTTCGGTAAGCTGTTTGATTCTTTCGTTTGATTCCGCTTTGAAGACCGCAATGGCCTTCTTCACCTCCTCCCCCTCTTGGTCCACCTTTTCGAAGTAGCGCTTGTGATCCACCATGGCGTGTCGATTCTCGAAGAGCGAGTGAAGTTTATCGTACTTGGTCTCGTAACCCTTCACCCAATCGACGAACTCCTCGCGGACATTCTGGCGGTAGAACTCCCAGTCGATGGTCGGCATCGATTCGGGATACTTGCGAACGCGACTGGAAAAGATTTAGGATTATAATGTTGTGTCATATAACCCAAAACGAAGGCGATGAACAATGAGTAAGCGTAATGATACAATTTGTTAGTATTAAATAAATATAATTAAAATTTGAACTCTAACATTTGCTTAAATATCTACAAATATAATAAAATTACTAAGAACTAAAAACAAACCCATTTTAAAATTCACTTATCAATAGGTAAAACTCGATTTCTCGTCGAGCTCACGACAGTCATCAAAAACTGAAAAGCTGCCTCGAAAAAAATAAGTTAAATGTGCATTAAAAACCTCTTAAATGTGACATAAGGGAAACTTATATAAAACTTTCATAAGTAATATCCTCATTTACGTTTACTAAAAACAGACCCATGTTAAGGCAAATTATCCACAATAATGTCTAAGAAACCCTCTTTCGAAACCCCCATCTTACTCCTTGTACTCCTCGTGCTTCTTGGCGAACATCTGGAACATCTTCAGCTGGTTCGGTGGCACCTGCTTCATCAGATCGGCCAGTTGGACAACCGTGCAGCTCGTCTTCTGGGCCCCACCGCCATTACCCTTGATGCAGTTAACCAGCTTCTCCCACATTCTGCGATTTCGTTAGCTTTCTTGGTTGAATTTTTTAGTCGATATATGTATGTTTATATATGTTCAGGTGTTCACATTGGCCTCCAGTCTGTTCTATAACTTGTACGAATGTGTTCGAGAGTGTGTGCGATGAAAACTCCCAAGGAGCCAACTGAGAGCCATTAAAAGTGAAAATTCCAAAGGGCTATAAAAAAAAGGGGGGGAAGAGAAATCGAGATTTCAATTTATAGCCCGAAATTGCATATTCATGCAGTTTCAATTAAATCAGAGTCAGGCGCAGCGACAGCTACGCAAGTGGGTTTGACTAACTGACAATAAAATCGAAAATTAATTCCGAGCCAGCAGGCTGCTGCTCAAGGAAAGTTAAATGTAATTGCATAGATGGGGGTGGATGGATTGGGGGGGTAAATGTAAAATCACACCCCTGGAAATGCGTGTGTGTTTGGGTCCCGAAGTCTGAGACTGCTCCAAAGTGACAAACGCAATTTATAACACAACGAAAATGGGCTAATGCCAATTCTCCAGGTAATTGTCGGCTGGACTCTCTCCCTTTCTGCTTCTCTAGAGAAAGAGAGAGAGAGGGGTGTGCGAATAACAACCCCTGCTAGAAACCGAGAATATGCTCCTTGAAACGTTTTGGAATAAAGCGAAACAGGCGCCTGCGCACTGCGAATGCTTTGCTGTCACTTTGACAGTTGCAAAATACCTCTCTCACCCCCGAAAAGGTCCTTTGCCCAAAGGACTCAAACAGCTGCCTCTCTCCCGCAGGACGAAACGAAATGGAAGAGAAACGGCGAGAGAGAGAGCGAGAATTTGTCTGCTCCGTTTGTCAGCAAATTTCGAGCGTCTGTAAATTTTAATGCCAATTTTTCTGTGTTTTGGGCTTTAAAAATATTTAAAACTCTAGTCAAACTTAACATTTAACTATACAAATAGTGAGCCATGGTTGTGATTGCCCGGGAATCCTTTGATAAACACAAATAAACCCAGAATTCAGTTATCCTCGTTCGTGTTTCATTTCGCGTGTTTGTGTGTACCATACAAAAGTGTGTTTACATTTTTTCAACTCGTCCTAACAAATATCTAAACAATAGAATACAAGGTTTAACAAACATTTTTCCGAGGATTGACATATTAATTAAATAAAGTAAGTTGGTGATTGAAGTCAAGTGCGTATTTTTTATATATATCCTTTAAAATATAACAAGAATCTTGCCTGTATGTGATTTTTTGCATGTGTATGTATATGTACACAAACGGATGTATGTATGTTATTGTGTGGGGAATAAAGGACATACCTGTGCAAGCTGGGCCAAGGATTTCATGTGGGCTGGCCTGAATAAGATGAAGAAAGGAAAATAAATACACAAAATTACGAATGTTATAAGCAATCAAAACATGGATTTTAATGCTAAGTCAAAATAAACAAATATTTGTTAGCGGCTGAGATATGTAAAGTTGAAAATTTTTTTTTTCGAATTAAAGGTAACTTAAATTTGATATTTGATTAAAATGTTTCCTAAAATAATATTAGATCTCTAGAATTGACTTTAAATTATTTTCTTACTAAAGAAGATCCTTCACTATTTTGTCCCCCTTTTAAAATTAAAATCCATAAAATTAAAATTCTAGATTACCTGGTAAGCCATAAAATTGATAACTTGAATCAAGGTCCTAGAAGCCCTCAAATAAAATACCAAAAAAGTAATTACATAAACAAATGAAGCCGCACATAATAGGCGAAAGCCCAGTGGTCATAGTAACATTCACCCACTTTTCGGCTCAAATTTATTTCAAAACTTAATGAAACTCATCAAAATTCTCTCGGACCAAAATGAAATTCTGCAAATGAACTAATTGACTCGAATGATACTTTACAACTTTGCCGGGGCGAAGCCCGGCATCCGGATCCCAACTTTTAACCCCACGAAGAAAATAGAGTTTTGCGGCAAGCGGCGAATAATGTGGAAAAATAAATATCCAAAGCTCGCTGGCTGATGGCTTAGAATTTTAATGTAATTTATTTTTGGTAGCAAAGGGGCGGGGGGAAATGTGTGCAGAGGGCAGAACACCGAACGGAGGCCAGAAACAAATAAAGTATGGACTAACATAAAAATTTATATGCAGCGTAATGGCAAAATATATATGTACAGCCTCTGCCATAGGCCATGTCGGTGCTTTGTTAAGCCCTTCCTCTCGGCCTTCTTCCCTCCTCGGCAAACTTTTAAAGTGTGCAATTTAAATGAAAATTTCCCGAGCTGAGGCCCGCATTTTCCCGTAGAGCGTGTCAAGCCACGCAGGCTGACTAGCAAGCAGTTACACACACCCGAGCGAACACACCCAAAACTACTTATTTATGAAGGGGCTAGGGGTTAGGAGGTCCTTCCCCCTTTTCCACTGGGCCAAGTGATTTTATGCTAATATTATGGGTCATTGGGATTTGCGCAGAGCAAAGTGCTTGTTAAACATTTCATTAGACTTAGTGTAAATACCCGCGGTTAACAGGACCTCGTAAAACCTTGCCAAATCCGCCAGTGGTGGCACTCCCATTCCCCTTCCCACCCCCAAAGGAACCACCCACTCATCCTCTTTTGTTCAACGCGCCCGTGAATGTGCATGAGTATGTGTGTGTGGTCGGTGGCCCAAAAGTTTCCTTTTGAAATTGAAAGTGTTGATGGGAGCCACTGAGCCGCGTCTTGGGTCATATGCCAGCATATGGTGCCTAAATACAGTCCGTTTCGGTACTGAAAGTCGACTGGCAAACATTAATCACAATTTTTTAATGGAAAATATGAAATATATATTTTAAGGATTACTAAAGAATAAATCTACCATTCATTTTGATTTTTTACAAATATTAAATATTAAATATTATTAGATACCTAACTATACAGATAACCACCATTTATTTAAACTATTCTAGTTATGTAGGTACTTTTAAAACATTTATGCTGAAGATATACTTTTTAGTTTATCAGCTTATTATTTTCCTTATCACTATCTATAAAATAATTTTGAATTTTATCGGGCTTTTTATAGCTGCTTTTTCAAACTTATGTCCCGCACTGTACACCTAACCCTAGCCTGTCCAGAACCTTTTGTGTGTGCGTAATTATTCAGCAGCTGCTGTCAGTCTAAAATAAAAGTGAATTTCGCCAGCCAAAAATGGTACAAACTCAAAATAAGCCAAAAACTGAAAGGTCCTTTGCAGAAGCCGCCCGACAAAATGACTTTCGTTTTAATGCCAAAATCATGTCAGACCCAGATGCGACCACATTACATATTGCACTACTTAGAATACACAATATATGAACATTTTTGCGTTGGCGTTCTTTATTGGATTCGTGTCCACATGCGGCTGACAGAATGAGTTTTTGATCAACTGGCGACGTCACTCAAAATTCTGCAATTAGTTATTGATGATTCGGAGAATCTCGGAGCCTGAGCGTAGCCATGAATGAAATATGGCCATTGTCGCACTTTAAAGCGTTAAATGTTCTTTTTTGTTGACGCCGAAGCTGCTGTTGCCGGCGGCAATAATTGGAAAAATTTCCATTTGTCCTTTTTGCCCTTGTCCGTCTGTTCGCCACCCAAACTGGACCAAGGATCAAGGATTCCTGGCCAGAAGCGGCGCGCCGCCGCGGCGGACAAACGAGGCCGTAGGCGCATTTGCCATCTGTCACTCTGGCACTCGTGATGAATGTGTTTGACGTGTGGCACAAGGCTCAGGGCACGGGGCACGCCCCCCAATCGAGGGCCTTCGCCTTTGGCGGCGCCTTTCCGTGGCATTCCACCCATTTTCCAACCTCCAATCCCAATCCCCATCGTCATCGTCATCTCACTGCCACACCGCATGACGTTGCATACTTTGCGGCGCGAGCGCCCAGTGAATAATGTGCGTCGGAACTGCCGCCTGTCGATGGTGGAAATCTTAATGGCAAATTGCGCAGATGTATCTATAAACCTGCCACATAAGTAATTACACAGGGCAGAAAAGTTACAAATAAGCCTTCTGTTCTTAGGCTTTTTAAAGATCACTATTTTAAATAAATAAGTTTTTGAGTTAACTTCATTACTTTAAATCTATTTTCTGTGAAGAGCCTATCATAATTTTCTCAATTGGCTAACTTAAAAATCATTATCATCTGAAACTTTCTGCCTTTACCCAATCTATTATTTACTTTACTTAGTTACCAAACTTTTCCGACACTCAACTGTACTTTTTCTAGTTCAAGTCATCCCTATTCAAAGGAATCAAAAGTTGATTATTAATTGAATATTATGTTTTCCTCCCAACCTTTTCAGATCTAATTTGAAGACAGTGCTCGACCAACTCGAAACAAAAGTGTTGCCACAATGAGCTGGGCACAATGGCTTCTGCTCGGCAGTTGCCTCATGCTAATTTCACAAACACAGGCAGTCACCGAAGAACTTTCACCAGGTGAGTTTTTAAACGAACAAAAAAAAAAGGAAAGAAAGAATATTTCAATGTTTCCGTTTAACTGAGGGGCTGATTGAACCGGCTTTGCCGTCTGAACACAAGTTGAACAGTCTCTTGCATTATGCAAAAAGAAATTGCAGCACGAATGTTGCATGCAGATGAACAGTAGGTCAAAACAAGAGACCCACTTCTGCACACATATCTTTACACAGTGAGAAATAGTTGATATGTGATATAATAAAGAATTGGTTTTTAAGGAAATAAATAATAATTAATAAAGAAACACCATATTATTGATTTAAAAACATCTTTGTTTTTCCCAAATTAATATTACAAAAATCGTTAAGATTGTAAGACCTATAAACCTATTATATTTTTTTTTTTTTTTTTTTTTTTTTTTTTTTTTTTTTTTTTTTTTTTTTTTTTTTTTTTTTTTTTTTTTTTTTTTTTTTTTTTTTTTTTTTTTTTTTTTTTTTTTTTTTTTTTTTTTTTTTTTTTTTTTTTTTTTTTTTTTTTTTTTTTTTTTTTTTTTTTTTTTTTTTTTTTTTTTTTTTTTTTTTTTTTTTTTTTTTTTTTTTTTTTTTTTTTTTTTTTTTTTTTTTTTTTTTTTTTTTTTTTTTTTTATTTTTTTTTTTTTTTTTT